TTGTTTCTTTACAGTTTTTTAAAATTCTTATTAATATAATATCTTTAGGCAAGGTATCGAAGTGATAAACAAATAAATAATCGACGAACGGAAATTTTAATTAATAAACAATTGATTGACAAATATTGGAGAGAAATTCAAGTGGGAGATATAATACGAATTCATAATAATGATTTTATTCCTGTAAGAATTATTTTTATGGAATTTATGTCATTACCTTTGATGTTTATTAGGCTGATATGATATTAATTTCAAGCAGTGAACCGAATGGATTATGTTTAATTGAAACTACTGATTTAGATGGGTAATATATAGAAGAAATAAAATAAAATGTAAAGTTTGCTTTTCTAAGTGAATCGAATCTAAAACCTCGTCAAGCACTCAAAGAAACAGTTTATCTTCAAGATAATTTAACAGAATTATCGAATTTTAATGGTAAGAAAACCATTTATTTGATAGCGTGACTAGAAAAAGGTTGTAGAGAGTGGGGATTGGGCTACCATCTGGTTACGCATCTACATTTACTTAATTATTTACTTCTATTTTAAGCTGAGATTGAATGTGAACAACCTAACAATAATCTTCTTCGATTTGAAGGTAATTTAATATGGAATACTCAAAAATATGCATTAGGAAATGATAATATTCTATTGCGTGGAACTCGACTAAGAAATACGCAATGGGCTTTTGGAAGTAAATAAATCATCGATTTGAATAAAATATAATATTTTTATCTATATATAATTATAATTAGTTGTTTGTTATGCCGGTCAAGATACAAAATTAATGCAAAATAGTGGTAAACCAAAATTTAAACGAACGAAAATTGATCATTGGCTAAATAAAATTCTCATAGGAGTAAATTAATTTTTTTCTGTTTGTATTTTTATTTTTTAGTAGATTTTTATTTTTTTAATTTTAACCTGTTCTATATTGGCAATTTGTAATGGATTTTGGGAATATAATAGTGGTTCAAAATTTCGTATTTATTTACCATGGGATTCGTATGTTTCATTAGATTCACGGACTGGTGCTATTCAAATAGCTGCACTTATATTTTTTTCATATATTATATTATTAAATACTGTCATACCATCATCTCTTTATATCAGTATAGAAATTATTCGTCTTTTTCAAGCGAAATGGATTGATTGGGATAATCAAATGTATTATGAACCAAATAATAGTCAAGCTCAATCACATACAGCATCATTAAGTGAAGAATTAGGTCAAATTGAATATATTTTCTCTGATAAAACAGGAACGTTAACTCAGGTATTTGAATCAAAAATTATTGAATTAATTTTTCTGATTTTGAAAGAGAATGATGTAGAATGTTTATAAACAAATATGACTAGTCTAATCATAAATACTTCCCTTAAATATCATTAAATTACAAATGAAAAAGATCTCTTTAGTTTTTAGAATATTATGACATTCAAAAAATGTTCTATTCGAGGTAAATTATATGGAGATATAATAAATGAGAATAGACACAATACGCGAATTACTACTGAATTGGAAAATAATAATTTTATTTGGTATGATCAAACATTAATTGATGCAATAGAAAATAATGATAATAACGAGATTAATCATTTTTTTACTTTATTGGCATTATGTCATACAGTTATAAGTGAAGAAAAAAATGGAAAAATTATTTATCAAGCTCAATCACCTGATGAAAATGCATTAGTAACAGCTGCACGTTCATTTGGTTTTGAATTTCTTGTAATTTTATTAATATTGTAATTCTTCAATTATTCTCTAATCTATTTAGAGTCGTACTCAAAGTAATATTACAGTTCGTTTTCGAAATCAAATTGAAATCTATGATCTATTGAATATTCTCGATTTTAATAATTATCGAAAGCGTATGTCTGTAAGTATATTTAATAGGTTTTTCTATTGAATAAATTATACTTTCCTTATAGATTATTGTAAGAAAACATGGTAAAATCATTTTATATTGCAAAGGTGCTGATTCAACTATCAAAGAACGATTAGATCCATTGGAGAATGATATAATGACATTAACTGATGAACATTTACATGTATGTATACAGAATTATTTTTGAGAATTTCTATATATAATATCAATTCTTTAGAAAGTAGCTAGCGAAGGTTTACGTACATTATATTTAGCTTGGAAAGAATTAAATGAAAAAGATTATCGAAAATGGGCAAATAAATTGAAAAACGCAACGTAAATATTATTTGTTAGAATCAAAAATGAAGCTTTTTTTTCTATTAAATTTAGTACAAGTATGCAACAACGTGAAGAACAAATGAATGACTTATATGAAGAAATTGAAATAAATATGAAATTACTTGGTATGACTGCTATTGAAGATAAACTTCAAGATGGTGTACCAGAATGTATTGAAAAATTAACACAAGCTGGTATAAATATTTGGATGTTAACTGGAGATAAAATTGGTAAATAATTTCTTGTTGTTTTTTAAAAAAAATTTATTCTTTAGAAACTGCCGAAAATGTTGGTTTTTCTTGTCGACTTTTAAAAAACAATATGATAATAAAAAGAATTGATGAAGAAACACAAGCAGATGTAACATTTGCATTGAATAAATTTCGAAATGAATTAATTGAAAAAATCGAGCAATTATATAATATTCATATTGAAGATCGAAATAAACGACTTAGTTGGAAGAATTTCAATATTCCTCTAAAAAAATTAAATTACGAACATCATTTTCAAGGCTTTAGTTTATTAATAACTGGAACAGCATTAATTCATGCATTATCAAATGAATTAAAAATGAGCTTTCTTGAACTTTCTACAATGTGTAAAACAGTTATATGTTGTCGTGTAACACCTTTACAAAAAGCACAAATAGTAGAATTAATTAGAAAAAATGATAAAGTAATTACATTAGCTATTGGAGATGGTGCTAATGATGTTTCGATGATACAAAGTAAGTTGTACGATGTTTTCGGCAATTAAAAATATATTTGTCGTTTTGTATAGAAGCACATATTGGTGTTGGAATAAGTGGACAAGAAGGTCGTCAAGCAGTTTTAGCTAGTGATTATAGTATTGGTCAATTCCGGTTTCTTGAACGATTATTATTTGTTCATGGCCGTTGGTCTTATATACGTATATCAAAATTTTTACGTTATTTTTTCTACAAAAATTTCGCATTTACTTTTTGTCAATTTTGGTTTGCTTTTTACTGTGGATTTTCAGCTCAAGTAAAATTTTTATCTAAACAAAAGATTTCATATATATATATATATTATCTAAAATAGACAATATTTGATTCATTCTTTGTTACTCTTTATAATATATTCTTTACAACTTTTCCTGTTGTAACATTAGGTGTTCATGATCAAGTATATTATTTTTCGTTGAATTTCATAGAAACAAAAATAGATTATTTTTTTATTTAGGATATTAGTGCAAGTCATTCGATTAGTAAACCTCATTTGTAAGTTAATTTTAATCAAAATTATAAATCATGATATCAATTTAGATACATCATTGGTCAAAAAGATCAACTTTTTAATAGAAAAATCTTTGCTGAATGTGCTTTACATGGTCTTATAACATCTTGTATAATATTTTTCTTCTCTTATTTATGTTTATTATCAAGTACTCAATCATCTGGTATACCATTAAATGATACACAATCATTTGGTTTTATGATAGCAACTATATTAGTAATTGTTGTTAATTTAGAGAATGCTCTTGAAATGTGGTATTGGTCAGGTATCTATATGTTTATTTTATTTGGTACAATTATACTTCATTTTATCTTTCATTTCGTTATATATTCAACATTATTACGTTTAAAATTTAAAATAAATTATCCTTATGTTGGTATTGCACAGGTGGCATTGACTAATGTTACTTTTTGGTTTACACTTGTTCTTATATGTGTCATACTTCTATTACCTATTATCGGTCGAGAGTAAATCTCTTTGAAATTTCAATTAAAATAATATAGCAAATTAATTTAGATTTTTTCGTATACGTTTTATACCGAATGAAACTGATAAAGCTCGATTAATTCAAAAATTTTGTATTCCTCAAAAAAAAAGAAACTGTTATTCCAACTGATCAAGAACCGCGACAAAGACCACAATCAGTTCGATCAACTGGGTAATTGTATTGTTTAAATGAATATTATACTAACATTATTTCTTTTTATTGTATTCAGATCGGGTTATGCATTTTCACAACAAAAAGGATGGGGACCATTGATAACATCTGGTACATTACGAACAAAATCAGCAACAAGTTCCCATACATAATAAAACTTATTTTTTGCTGTTAAATAAGTCTTTTTTTATAATAATAATTTGAGATATTTTCAGTTGAAATTAATATCAAATTAAATTATAATAACTTCATACAAACAGCTTAAACTATCCTTCAGGCTATTGACATTTTTTTGATTGATTTGCATTATTTAAACATTTTTTTATATTATTTATAACATTAATTATGCATAATAATGTATTATTGTACTTAATATATAATTATAACAATATTAGATTATCGTCCGAAGGATTTGGAATGGAAAACTAATGTTAAATTTTACCATGATTTGATAATAATAATATTCCATGGTATGGGGGATATAGCTCAGTGGTAGAGCATTCGACTGCAGATCGAGAGGTCCCTGGTTCAATCCCGGGTGTCCCCTAGGCGTTTCTTTTTTTCTTTTTTTTTTCTTTCGTTCTGTCGTAAGAATAACACTGCCGACGTAGAGGCTGAGTCATACAGATATATCGTAACATACATTGCAATCAATCTTTTTTTTTGATAGTAAAAGAATCTCTGTGAGATATTTGATCAAAAACAAAAACAAGCTCTTTAAATTTTCATGTCTATCAATGAAATTTTATTTTTTCTCATAATAAAAACTTTGTTTCTTTCTATAGATGATAATATATACGCATGATGTTGTAGATATCATTTTATCAACAAGAAGGAAAAAGTAGGATACGAGATAAATTAAAACTACTAAAATTCAATGGATATCACGACACAAGACAATATAAAAATAACTTCAGATTATGTTACAATATCTCCTGAAGTTAAATTATATTATGAAATACGTTCATCACCTAATGTATCTTCTCAAGAAAGTTTTAAAATGATAATGATTATGGGTGCATTTGCAACGATGAGACATTTCGAAGAACAAGTACAATATATTATTAATTATTTTACTTCTTGTCAAAAATCTATTGAAATTTTAACTTATGATCATCGAGGTATTGGTAAATCAACTTCAACACAATTCATACGTCAAACATCACATATGCTTGCTAATGATGCATTAATTTTAATTAATCAAGTTTGGGGTACAAATTCATTTGTACATGTTTTCGGGGCAAGTCTTGGTGGAATGGTCGCACAAGAATTAGCATTACTTTTAATTCCTTTACAACGTCTTCGTTCATTATATCTTGTTGTAACATCACGTGGAACTTATATAAGACCAATGTCATTTGGACCAAATCTTTGGTTAAAATTAATGCCATTACTTATAAAAAAAGATCATGAACATATGATTCGTAATGTACTTCTTCCATCTGCATTTTCACCAGAAACTATAAATACGTCTGGTGAAATATATGCAACACTTTGGTTAAATGAATATGATCAATGGTGGGCATTTGATAATCAAAAAGCTTGTGCTTGTCAATCATCAGCAGCTGGTAGTCATTATTTAACAAATACAGGTGTACAATTAATACGTAATGCACATATACCAATAACAGTACAAATATCCAGTCAAGATAAATTAATATCACCAAAAAAACAACATGAATTAGCGAAGTTATTAAATGCGAAAGCAGTTATATTCGATCAAGGTCATATGGGAGATGATCATGTAAAAGAAAAAATTTATCGTTCGATTATAGAACATATCGAAAATGTTCTATGATGATTAATATTCATACTGAATTTTGTATTTAGATCATTCGTATTGAGTTTTTTCGTTAAGAAAACTGTACATGAATGAAATATAATAAACATTCGAAATTCTGTTTGTATTCAACTTCATTTTCTTGTACTCGATTGCAATTATTTCTTGAATGACATTAAATGGAAAATTATTCATTTGTCTTCTAACGATAGATGTCTCTAGATTTTCATAACAAATTCAATATCTATTATGACTAATAGAAAAGATTTATATGGTGTAAAATTACCAATCAATTTCATTGAAACGGTATGTCAGTCATTATGACATAGCAAAAAAATTGATTTCTATAAAATATATGATCTATATTGCAGTAAAATCATTTATCTTGATTTCCAGATAGTTTATTTTCATTGATATCGTGAACCATAATCAAATATGTTTTTAAGGTCCATAATCAATAAAAATCTTTCGATTTTTCAACATACATCTTCTCGTTTGTTATCATCATTCTCGAAAAATTATGTTTGTGATTCGTCTGTTATTGAAGCTTATCAAACAAATAAAAAATTGAAATCAATTATTGATCGACAAGAACATCAATTTTATTATCATGGTGATAAAAAAGAACAACAGATACCAACAGTTTTTAAACAAATTTCAACCAATTCTAATCTTCCAGAAAATGTACACTATCTTGTCAAGTAAGTTTTAACGTTGACTTTATTAATACATAAATCATTTCATTATCTGAAAAAGTTCTAAACTAATTATTATCGAATGCATATTAGTTGAACTCCGAAGTTTTGAGTTGAAATTGTACATGCTTAATATTTATTATCTTAGAATCTGTTTCTTAATTTCAGTTCCACATCTGAAAATTCCACTGATGATGATAAGACAAAGAAAACATCTGTTGAAGACTTTATTCACCTAACAGCTGCTAATGATCGTAGTAAAGGTACATTTCCTGGTTTAGTTGGTATGGAAATTTTATCTATAAAACATGGTTATGTTTCTTGTCAACTTAAAATTCGTGAAGAACTTTTGGCACCCAATGGTTATCTTCATGCTGGTGTTGTTGTTACTTTTGCTGATACTGCTTGTGGTTATGGTTGTATTCAGTCAAAACCTACTAATGCAAAATTATTTACTACAATTGAATTGAAATCAAATTTTTTAGGAACTGTTAAACCCCCAGCTGTAATATCATGTGTAGCTCGTTTAACACATGGTGGAAAAACAACACAAGTTTGGGATGCTGAAGTAAAAGATACAGAAAAAAATAAATTAATGGCACTCTTTCGATGTACACAGTTAATTATTTATTAAACAATGTAATGTAGTTTAAAGTTTAAACAGACACTATTTATATGAAAAAGAACAAATATAAAAACCGATAAAAAACGATTTACTGTATTTTTTGTTTTTTTAAATAGAATTAGCATTCATTTTTATTGTTCTTTTTGCTGAATAACTATCGAAATAATTAATTCAATGATTAGTATGAACTAGAGACACAAGGATAAATATTTCTTCAATATATAAATTCAAACATAAAATGCATCTTTAAAAAGTCGTACCTACGATAAACTATTGGGTGTATGAAAAAGATGCATCAATGAATCAGGAAATTCTTCTTTTTCATAAATACCATTGTTTACGTTAACATCAAATCTACTTTCGGCTCATAAAACATCGTTTTTGAATTTCGATTGAAGTTTTTTCTGATTTACGTGCAACAACGTTTGTGAAGTGTTTTTTGATGATCTCGGGATTTTTGAATGCATATTCTATGATACTATTTTTTACACAAGTCTTCATTGTTCGTAAACTTTTCCTTATGTTTTTTTTGGTTGAAGTCGGTTTTTAACTAAATTTGTTCTCTGCTTTCTGTTGATTTTCCTACATTAAATGAACCAATTCCATTATATTGGCATATGTATCGATGAATAATAGAAAAATGAATCTTATTCACTAACAAAACTGCAGTTTCCTATGCTTTTCTCTTCGTTATTGTATGGAATAAATTACAGAGATGGGATCGGTTCGTGTTTTTATCGAACCGAACCGAACCGAACCGAAAAAATCTTGAACCGAACCGAACCGAACCGCTCTACTTTTTCAAAAACGCGAACCGAACCGAACCGGACCGAAAAGATCTCAAACCGAACCGAACCGAACCGAATCAAGCCAAAATTTACAACAATCTAACGAGTGTATTTGAATATCAAATTTTGAATGCGTTAAATGTCTCGAACCGAACCGAACCGAACCGAAAAAGTTTCGAACCGAACCGAAC